AATAAATATGTGGGTATCTACAGCGAAACGCCTTTAAAACCCTTTACGAAACTTTATACATATTGTCTTTAAAATCAGATTTTTATGGGTGTAGATTACTTATTTTTATCATGATGTCAGACTTGTTAAAAAACCTAAAACTAACAAAGGAACTTAAAGTACTAGGCTGCCAGGCTCGGTTTTTGATTTTGTTATATTTTTGGACTTATGTTGATGAGTTTAAAAAACGTACAAACTGTAGGCCTACGATTATAATCATTATTATAGATCATAGATCAGCCTGCACTAGTCAATTGTATTAGCTTTCTCTCTTCAAACAACTTCAATGACCCAGACTGCAGACTGAGTCCTCTGTGAATACTTACAGGCGTTTAAAACCAGCTTTCTCTATTTTTTATGACTGGTTTTGTAATCGTTAATCGTGTTTAAGTCTACCAATGTACATAAATTTGTCTCTATTGAGCGGCAATAATTAACAAACATAATGGTTATATTTTCCTGTAATAAATGTTAGAAGCTGGTCATGTCTATAAATGTTTTTTATTATTTAATTGCTTGTACTTCAACCGAATTTGTATTTATTCTTTTTATTAAAAGATTAGGTATCTTCTAGATACACTAGCATTGACTTAGGATTTATCTCTACTACACTCGATTATAAAAAATAAATGTCAATTTAAATCAGTTTAACATAAATCAAAATTTTGACTTCCCTATAAAAATATAGGTATATAGATAGATATTCAATTTTTTATGACAGCAAGTCTATAAGTATCTAATCTCCATCTTATTTAATTTTAGGTAAATTCCGTTACATCACAGAGGAGACGGGACCTCGGAGCATATGCGAGGCGATCGAGGGCCTGGGATTCGAGGCCAAGCTGATGACCGGCCGGGACAAGATGGCCCACAACTACCTGGAGCACAAGGAGGAGATCCGGAAGTGGCGCAATGCCTTCCTGGTCTCGCTGATCTTCGGCGGGCCCTGCATGGTGGCCATGATCTATTTCATGCTGGAGATGAACGACAAGGGACACGCGAACATGTGCTGCCTTGTGCCCGGCCTGTCGATGGAGAACCTGGTGATGTTCCTGCTCTCCACGCCCGTGCAGTTCTTTGGTGGCTTCCACTTCTACGTGCAATCCTATCGAGCGATCAAGCACGGCACCACCAACATGGACGTACTGATCTCGATGGTCACGACCATCTCGTATGTGTACTCCGTGGCGGTGGTGATCGCAGCCGTATTGCTGGAGCAGAACAGCTCGCCGCTGACCTTCTTCGATACGCCGCCAATGCTGCTGATCTTCATTTCGCTGGGTCGCTGGCTGGAGCACATAGCCAAGGGCAAGACCTCGGAGGCCCTGTCCAAACTGCTGTCCCTCAAGGCGGCCGATGCCCTGCTGGTGGAGATCTCGCCGGATTTCGATATCATCAGCGAGAAGGTGATATCCGTGGACTATGTACAGCGTGGCGATATCCTGAAGGTGATTCCAGGAGCCAAAGTTCCTGTGGACGGCAAGGTTCTGTACGGTCACTCCAGTTGCGATGAATCGCTGATCACCGGGGAGTCCATGCCGGTGGCAAAACGAAAAGGATCCGTGGTTATCGGTGGGTCCATCAACCAGAATGGTGTACTCCTGGTGGAGGCCACGCACACGGGTGAGAATACGACGCTCGCACAGATTGTGCGATTAGTGGAGGAGGCTCAGACCAGTAAGGCGCCCATCCAGCAGCTGGCCGATCGGATCGCTGGCTACTTTGTGCCCTTCGTTGTTGTGGTGTCCAGTATCACGCTGATTGCTTGGATCATCATTGGCTTTGCCAATCCCAATCTGGTGCCCGTGGCCATGGAGCATAAAATGCACATGGACCAGAACACAATCATCGTTAGCTATGCCTTCAAGTGCGCCTTGAGTGTGCTGGCCATTGCGTGTCCCTGTGCCCTGGGCCTCGCCACGCCCACCGCCGTGATGGTGGCCACTGGAACGGGAGCAATCAATGGCGTGCTGGTAAAAGGTGCCACCGCCCTGGAGAATGCCCATAAGGTGAGGTCAAGATCCTTAATCCTATTATTTACCTTACTGATATGTTTTTTCTAAAACATTCCAGGTGAAGACTGTGGTCTTTGACAAAACGGGCACCATAACCCACGGCACCCCGATGACCAGCAAGGTAACCCTCTTCGTCACAGCCCAAGTCTGCAGCCTGGCGCGGGCTTTGACGATTGTGGGAGCCGCCGAGCAGAACAGCGAGCATCCGATCGCCTCCGCCATTGTGCACTTCGCCAAGGATATGTTGAACGTGGGCGCCACTCCTCAGGCGGGCAGCTTTGGCAAGAGCAGTCACTTCCAGGCCGTACCCGGCTGTGGCATCCGCGTCACCGTCTCCAACTATGAGCAAACCCTGAGACAGGCCTGCAACGCGGAACGGATCATCAACTATGAGAATCTGCATCGCGATCATCCGCAGGGATCGGTGCCGGTGGACAATGGCGCCAGTATCGAACATTTGCTGCCGCAGAACAGCGTACGCAAGTCGATGGAACTGAACAATCAGCAGTTGTTATCCGACTTGGTCATGGAACAGGAAGAGCAGCTCCTCACGGATGAGAAGATCATAGATGGCCCCGAGATTCTGGTGCTCATCGGCAATCGGGAGTGGATGCAGCGCAACGCCATCGAAGTGCCGCTGGAGATTAGCGATTGTATGACGCACGAGGAACGAAAGGGACATACGGCGGTGCTCTGCGCCCTCAACGGCCAGTTGGTGTGCATGTTTGCCGTCTCCGATATGGTCAAGCCGGAGGCCCATCTTGCCGTCTATACGCTGAAGCGGATGGGCATCGATGTGGTGCTACTCACGGGGGATAATAAGAACACGGCTGCCAGCATAGCCCGCGAGGTGGGTGACTTTTTGGGATTGACTCTAGTACGGTTTTAAAACTAATTTATTACCTCTTTTGCTGCAGGTTGGCATCCGAACCGTTTACGCAGAGGTCCTGCCCTCACACAAGGTGGCCAAGATCCAGCGAATACAGGCCAACGGCATCCGCGTGGCCATGGTGGGCGATGGGGTCAACGACAGTCCGGCGCTGGCGCAGGCGGATGTGGGCATCACGATTGCAGCGGGCACCGATGTGGCCGCCGAGGCCTCGGACATTGTACTGATGCGCAACGATCTGCTGGACGTGGTGGCCTGTTTGGACCTGTCCCGCTGCACGGTGCGTCGCATTCGCTACAACTTCTTCTTCGCCAGCATGTACAACCTATTGGGCATTCCGCTGGCCAGTGGTCTGTTTGCACCCTACGGCTTCACCCTGCTGCCGTGGATGGCCTCCGTGGCCATGGCCGCCAGTTCGGTGAGCGTGGTGTGCTCCTCGCTGCTGCTAAAGATGTACCGCAAGCCCACGGCGAAGACGTTGCGTACGGCGGAGTACGAAGCGCAACTGGCGGCGGAACGAGCTGGTGGCTCCGAATATGAGCTGGACAAGCTATCCCTCCATCGCGGCCTGGACGACCTGCCCGAAAAGGGAAGGATGGCCTTCAAGCGGTCCACCAACTCGCTCATTTCGCGCATTTTCATGCACGGAAACGGGGGCGTCACCTCGCCGGATGCCAAGCACGAGGAGGGACTGCTGGACCCCGAGGAGCAGTACGATGGGCGCACCAAGATCGTAAGGAGTCGCTATCATGCCAATGACAGCACCGAACTGCAAAAGTTGTGAGCTCAACCGATGACAACTATTAAGCAACCACAATCCAACCGAGGACCTCAAAACGACAAATTTTCAGTGAAATTGTTAGCGGGCTTTAAATTGAACTAGTGAGAGAGCGAATTATAAAACCTATGTACATATTGCAGATTGATTGTTTTGACAAAGAATGAGCAGTAGGATCTATGATCTATTCCCTGGTCAAATATGATTTTGTAAGTCTCTCATAGGCAAAAGATAAAGAAGGGTTTTAAAGAAACGTGTTCTCAGTATGTAAATATAGCTCAAACACAAAATATTTAATTTATATTTTAAGTATACTTTTTTGGACTACTGAGTCGCCTTCTTTTGTAAGAACATGTCCTTTTTTTATCTATTCTTATTTTGAGAATAGCAAACATTGTAATGGATCAAGAATAACATTAGCCCACTACTGATTCTAGGGTTTTTTCGTTGTAAGCAGGAAAAATTTATGTATGGCCGGCTTTATATTCTTTAGAGCGGCTCCCGCACCGTCCCCTTTTTTCTGCAACATATTTGTTATATCCCCTTTTTTAATAAGAAACTAAACATTTATAAGATTTTTTTGTTTTGTACAACAGTTTTCTAACTCTTCTCTACCATTATTATTATTATTATTATTGCATACAAGTTTTTTTTTGTGTTATGATCGTAAGTTAAATATTACTATTAAGTTCAACTGAACAAAGGCAAAGGAGTCGCAGACCAGAAGACAAACCCAGACATCAACCATCATTGAACTATTGTTACTTATTGTTAATTCGCATTATCATATATCCCCATACACAGAGGAAAAATAAATCAAAACCAAAACCAAAAGACGAAGATCGAACAACTTGACCATTGACCTTTGAAGTTCTGACCCCATATCGGCTTTAATCCTTATTCGTGCAATCATAGGAGGACGTACACTTGTAAAACAATTGGGCACAAGAATAAAACAAACTGAAAATAAAAGAAAACGAAAGACATTCTTTATATGTAATTTAAATGTTTATATACAAAAGGCATTGTTATTGTACATATACGAATAAAACAAGAGATACGAAGAGGAGAATCCCCATACCGGCAAATTGCATCGCAAGTGTTTTAACTATTTAACACTTTAAAGACTGCCCTAATTCTGAATGTACAACAAATTATGGATAAGCTTTGAATAAATGAAACAGCCATCCATACCTTCGTAGTTATTCCATTTTGTGAAAACGGGAGGATGAATTTATGTTAATGTTAATTTTCCTAAAATGAAACACAACTTGATTACTTTAAATTTTGATTTTTATTTCTGTATTAAATCAGTACGAAAGACAGTGCGATCGAACATCTACGGTGTGGTGTGTCAATACTCCAAAATGCATTTGTCATTAGCTGCGGGACTGTATGTAAAAACTGAAATATTAATGGAGGCTCGTGTTACAACATAAGAGCGAATGACTGACTTGTTCAGAAGGTCGGCGATAGGGAGCTTGCATTCTGTGAAACTAAACTTCTACCTTTGGCTAGTTAAACAAAGTGAAATGGGAGGTAAACGGAGATAGCTGGTTGGTTGGGTGGGTGGGTTGGTGCCTGAGAATCTCACGCCTGGCCCAGGGCATCTTCAATGCGAGCGGCACGTGACTGATCCTCCTCCTCCTGCTGGCTCTTCCGCTTGGGATAGGCTTCCAGGCCCTTCTTGAACTCGTTAATATCCAGTATGCAGTTTTGATTGCCAACTTCGGGTAAGAAGACCACGTTCAGCTTGTTCTCCAGGGCCGCAAATAGATCCTCGTCATCCTCCTCTTCGGATGAGTCCTCCTCATCCTCGTGATCATCCTTTTCGGTTTCACTGCCATCTCCATCTTCGTTAGCATCTTCGACATGATCTTCGTCTTCGCAATTATTGTGGGCACCAGGCAAAGGTTCAGGCATATCTACTGGTCGATGGCCAATCACCTGTACGGACAGCTTCCGCAGGTTATTGGTATCAATGTCCAGAAGGAAATCAATGATCTCCGACTTTTGGAGCGTACGCAACACATCGATTTGACGACGGCGGCGATCGAACAGGTAATCCTCGTTGATGATCTCGTCCCAGTTGCGACCCATCTCCGTGCTCAGCGCCATGTCTGCCACCATTTTCAGCTTGATCAACGAGTCGCGGGTGTGATCGTAGTCATCCTGCGGTAGGTTGCGCAGAATTTGCAGCATTTTGGCGCGGAACACCTCGATGCGACCCTCCACATAGTTGGCCGTTGTCTTTGTCTCCTGCGAGTTGACCATAATAGAGTACCCGGCAATGCCGTAGTTTATCCTAACTGTAGCGCCCACATGGTAGCCTAGCTGCTCCTTGGTTCGCAATTGATCGAACAAAGGTTCGTCCACGAACATCATCATCAGATCGAGGATGCTCTCGACGCGAACTGTATTTGGCCCGATTTGATAGAAGTTCGTGATCACCGTGTTTGTATCCTGCTCGTTGAGAGCGTGGCAACGGATCACATTGGTACCCAGCGGCAATTGAATGGTTCTATCCTCCACGTAGCGCTGCTCCTTGATCGCCTGGCAATTAAGACGACTCAGCACGGTGTTCAGCACATTGTGGGCAGATTCCTCCGTGTAGTTGCCCTGAATAAGAGACTGGATATACAGTTCCTTCGGGAACTGGCGCGCGAACTCGCGCAGATCCTCCAAAGTAATATCGTTGAGGCACTTGTACTTGTCGATCATCAGCCAGCGGATTTGCTCAAGCACACAGAGACGAACGTCCCTGAAAAAGAGTGAGTAAGATATATGGGTGAGTTATAGAAACGCAAATCGATCAAAAGTGCTACAAGCATTCTTTACCTGTTGAGAGCCTTTGGCTTGATCAGGGTGTTGAAGAAGGTCTTACGCTGGTTCTTGCGGAAGGCAGCCAGCATCTTTTCGTCGAGCGTGTCTGCCACATGAAGCATAGCCTCGGCAATGGCTTCCACAATAAGATGGAGCTTCTCATTATAGCCACTTACTTTCAGGAGCAAACCCTTTTCGATTGTGTTAAAGGTGTAAGAAAGGCCGGCACTGATGGCTGGATATAGTTCCTCGCACACGTTGAACTTTACCAGCTCCTCATAAAGTGTGCACATGGCATCGCTGGTTAGAGAGGAAGGGTAAATAAATAAGAGAACGTAATTAATCAAGTGCATTCACTCACTTCTTGGCACTTTGTCGCTGCAGCGGCGAAATAAAATAGAAAGCCATGTGGGCCTCGGGTAAATCGAACTTGTCATCCTGGCGGAACCACAACTCGCACGTGTCCGTCTTGAGCAGTTTCTTGGGCGCGGCAGGCAGTTCGGGCTTTCCAGCCGAATGCCAGAACAGCGTGAAATCTTCCGTGACAAATTTATTTGGCTCGGGCAAGAACAGTTCCGGAAGCGGTTTCGAGTCCTCCCACAGCTTGCGCCACTTTTCGGGCATCGGAATGGTGGCATACTCGGTGCCGAACCACTCCTCGGTCTGATCGTAGGCGCACACGCCCTCGTATTTGTTGCGCGAGGTGACCATCAGGTTGAACTTCATCTCGTTCAGGTGGCCAATCAGTTCCTTGAGGTGCTCCTCATTGTACTCGTAGTAGAGCTCCTTGCCCGTCAGAATATCCTTTGGTGGGAAGTACTTGGAGTTCAGCACTAACTCCTGAACGTTGTCGAAAGCAGGTCGCTGAGCCTGGAACCGGAATCCCGTCTCCTCGATGCGCTGCTGCTCCTCATAGACCTCCTTCATTGATCCACAGTTGGAGAAGAGCTTGACATAGGCAAAAGTGGCGGCCAGAACATCGTCCAGATTCTTGAAACCCTCATCCGTGAGATAAATGCATACGTTAAACAGAGCATACATGGAGTTCGTGTCGAAGCCGTTCTCCTCGATGCCGGCAATCAGATGGAGAGCCCACAGGCGGCGTCTCAGGTAGGCGCACAAGCTGCCACGTCCCTCGTAGCCCAGCAGATACGACAGAAACTGATCGGGTTTGCTGCGGTAATACTGGTGCACATTGGGTAACACCCAGGTCAGCTCCAGCTTGCACTCGTTCTCCACGGGCTTCACGAAGAACACCTGCTCGTGGAACTCCGGTCTGAAGGCGTCCCTATAGTTGAACTTGCTCAAATCGGGAGCCCGAACATCGTTGTGCGGAATCTCCGAGAAATGGCGCACCACCAGCGATTCCAACTCATCAATGGGCAATCGGGCTTGCAGGCAAACGTACATACGATTGGCGCCATAGTGCTCCTTGCGGATCTCGTGCAGAACCTTGTGCAACTCCGCGTCGTCCACATTCTCTCTCAGCGACTTCATATTGCCCCAGGCGAAGGTGCCGTGGGGGAAACCTTTGGTGGCCAGACTGGCCAGCAGCTGATCCCGCCTTGTCTCGTCATCCTGCAAGATCTGCTGGAACTCCGAGTCCACGGCGCTGCGTTCACGCTGCATGGCCTCCTGCTTCATCAGCGGAGCCTTCATCAGGGCCGTGAAATAGTCCAAGCTGGAGTCCAAATGCTTCTCGGCAACCTCAAAGTAGAAGAGCGTCTCCTCGCAGTCGGTGTTGGCGTTGCTAAAGCCGCCGCATTTCTTGATATGCGCATCGAAGATGTTCTCCTCGGGGTACTTCTCGGAGCCCATGAAGATCATGTGCTCGAGGAAGTGCGCCAATCCTTGGTACTTTGTGGGCTCGGCAAAGGATCCATAGTCGATCATCAAGGCGCAGGCGGCCAGCTTCTCGTCGCCCTCCTCGCTACCCGATTCCATGCTGCTGCCGCTATCCGAGGAGCTCGACGAGCTGGAATCGCTGCTTGTGGTCACCGAACTGCTGGTCTCCTCGCATTCGCAGGACTTCTCCGACGAGGACTCCGAGGTGGTGAAGCCATCGTGCGGCACGGGACTCGGATCCGAGACTATGAGGGCATGCAAGCCATTGCCCAAGAGCAGCGTCCTAAGGGAAAGATTTGGGGGAGAGGGAAAGGAAACCATCCATTAAGCCCGGCTTATCTGGGTCACATCGACCACGGCACTCACTTGTACAGCTTCTTGTCCGTCTCCGACTTGTCCGGCGTGTCCAGATACTTGACCTGGTCCGTCATCTTCCACGACAGGCGGTGTGCGATGCTCCGTCCTCCGCCGGCTAATTGAATAATGGGGCTCCGGTCTCGCGTCCGGAATTGGAGTCGTCTGAGCAAATGGGCGCTGTGTCGCTGCCAGCTCATGCGGCACTCGAACGGGAATCACGGACTGCGATCCGAATGGGATCGCTAGCGGCTCGTTGGGATTGGAGAACTGTTTTCCGGGGACGTCGGCGCGGGCTGGGCTGGTCTGCCGATTCGGCAATGCAAATAAATTCAGAGTTGCCAGATTTTGTATAGGGCTATTCCCCAAATGTTCTCGGTCTACCCAGATCTTTCACTAAAAAATCCACTCAAATTTAAACGTGCTCTGTCCTGTCAAATTTTTAAAGTATTGGAAGTTTTATGTTTACAATAATATAATTGTCATGTAAGTCACAGGATGTGATTTTAATTCAAGTGATTCAAGTTTCCCAAGTTAACTATCGAGTGATCCCATAACCCGACTACATAAAAAAATGTTCAACTCCATAACTCGTTTAACTTAAAATTTGCACAAAAAAACAAGACACCAAAGTTTATAACACCAAAAAGGATACGATTAAATTAAATTTTCCAGCACCGAACTAGATGGTACTTCTTCTCCTCAACCAATATCTTTAAAGATTTCCGTAACTATATAACTCCGTCACAAAGGCTTTAAAACAGTTAAGTTAATGCCTAAAATTATTAATAAGGTAAGAAGAACTCAAATGTACTTATTAAATTTATTTGTAAAGTAAATAATTCGTACTGGTGATACTAAACTGTTTTGGAGTTGCCATTAATTTTGAATAAAAAAATTTGACAGCTGTGGTGCTCAGCAATTTTAATAATTCAATGTTTAAGTGTTTCAATATGTAAATGTGTTTTAGGGAGATGGATACATAGATGGTTAGATATAAAATAAAATAATAAAATAAACAGGGTATTCCCTAAAATGTTGAATTAATATAATAAAAATACCAAAAAATACCAGACACTTATTTCGCATTTTTGGTACCATCTGGTCACACCGCACGATTGCACCGAGTGTCATGCGTGCGTGTGTGTGTGCGTGCGTGTTAGTGTGTCGTATGAGTTGTGGCGACCAGGCGAAAATAAAAATAAATAGATAAATGCACATTGCGACCGACGCGGCCCGTGTGTGCAGATGCCAGATGGTGCAGTTGCATGACCCCAGCGGATGACCCCAAAACCAACAGCGGCAGCAGCTCGTCGGAACAACAACAACAGCAACGACAACGAAACCAAGAGCAACAACAACGGCGATCCGATCGCTGCTCGCACACACACGCACACACAGGTAGCAATCGGAACGGTAAGTTCCACTGATAAACTTATCACCACACAAAACGATAATTCTAATTTTGTTTCCCCCCCCCTCCAATCACATTCACCAGTTAGTTGCCCCTGTATATTAATTTCACCTCCTATTTCCCCAAATTCGTTTGGTTTTGTTTTTGTTTTGGACAGACAGACACGCACATAGCACATAACGGTATATAGCGCCCAGACAGGAAGTAGCGAATAATTGAATATTCCAGCGGCGTACAGCAGCGGTCACGCGGAGAGTTGCACCCTGCTGGTGTGTGCTGGACATCAGAACCATGGCCACAGGCGGCGGCGGCGGCGGCCTGGGAGGAGGAGCAACCGGATCCGCCGGAAATGCTGACCACCACAAGCGCAACACCTTCACCAGCTATGTGGCACCGCTGCCGGGTGATCTGCGCGCCACCGCGGACACGAATGAATGGTGCCTGCCCAGCGATTTGCGGGACGTCCATTTGGGTAAACCGCGCCTGCTGCAGGGCGAGCAAATTGTGGCCTCCGCACCGGCCTACATGTACTCCCCCATCGATCCCATGGACAGCAGCGGGAGTGGGAGTGTGAGTGGGAGCGGCTCCTCCACATCGCTGTCATCCGACTCGCATAAGGAGGCCATCTTTGGCCTGCTTAGCGTCACTAATTTCAAGCTGGCCTTTGTACCACTGCACTCGAAGCGTAATCCTGTTGCAACCGCTGCACCACTGATCGATCTCTACCAGGAGAACGCCTATTTGGGCCGCAACGAGATCACGCTGAATAACATCGATCATATCTACACCATCGCCGAGCTGGGCAGGGCGGCCAGTGCGCTGCAGGCGGCGCGTGGCATTGCCAGCCATGGGATCAGCCGGCGCAAGAAACTGGAGCCCTTCAAGCAGCACAACATCAGCGGGAGAATCGCCGCCCTACACATTGTGTGCAAGAACTTTCGTCTGTTGAAATTCGCCTTCCAGCAGCAGGATTCGAAGATATTCGGATCCAGTGATCAGGGCAAACTGATTGCCTCGGCACTGGTGCGATTTGCCTATCCCATGCGGCACGATCTGAGCTTCGCCTATGCGCACAGGGAGCCGTACTATTCCACGTTGGGTGCCTCCGGAACTAGCATGTATGCGACGAAGAACGATTGGGCCAGGGAGCTGATACGTTGCGGCGCCACCGAGTGGCAGGTGGTGAGCACTGCCAGTGTCCCGTTGCTGCAGAATCCTCTCCAGGCGGGCAAGTACACTGTGCCGCCGCACTTCGTCATACCGAAGAGCTGCAGCGTGGATCGATTCCTGGACTTGTCGCGTGCCTTTTGCGATTCACGAGCTGCCTTCTGGGTGTATAGCTATGGCAGTAACGCCGCCCTGGTGAGATTAGCTGAACTGCAGCCGGCTGCACAGCAGGACACCAAATTGGAGAATGTGATGCTCGAGCTGGTGCGCAAGTGTGATGCAGGGCGACAGCTCAAGCTGCTGCAGCTGACGGATCGCCTGCCAAGCATCCAGGATGTGCTGAAGGCCTACCAGAAACTGAGGCGCCTGTGCACGCCGGAAACGCCGCAGAAGTTCATGATGCAAGATGACAAGTACCTGTCGCTACTCGAAAAGACCAACTGGTTGTTCTATGTGTCGTTGTGCCTACGCTTTGCCAGCGAAGCTGCTGCTACTCTTCGAAGCGGTGTGAGCTGTGTCCTCCAGGAATCGAATGGCCGTGATTTATGCTGCGTGGTCAGCAGTCTGGCGCAACTACTACTCGATCCGCACTTTCGCACTATCGATGGCTTCCAGTCGCTGGTGCAGAAGGAGTGGGTGGCCCTGGAGCATCCGTTCCAGCGGCGCCTGGGACACGTTTATTCCGCCCAGCCGGCCGGCGGCAATGCCGAGCTGCTGGAAAGCGAACAGAGCCCAGTGTTCCTGCTCTTCCTCGACTGCGTGTGGCAGCTGCTGCAGCAGTTCCCCGACGAGTTCGAGTTCACGCAGACGTACCTAACAACGCTGTGGGACTCGTGCTTTATGCCCATCTTCGATACCTTCCAGTTTGACACGCAGGCGCAGCGTCTGAAGGCGGTGCGTGACTCGCAGCTCGTTCTTCGTCCCGTTTGGGATTGGGGCGAGCAGTTCTCCGACAAGGACAAGATGTTCTTCAGCAATCCGCTGTACCAGCGTCAAAAGGGAGATCTTGGCGCCCAGGCGGCGGCGGCGGCTCATCGGAGATCTCTCGCGGTGGGAAGTAGGGCGGCACATGGTACTGCAACTGGATCAACGCCCTCCCGCAACACCATGAATCCGCAGCTATTTTCAACGGCTTCCTCAGTGCCGCAGGATCGTTTCCTGCAGCCGGCTCACCGGATCGTCGACCTGCAAGTGTGGGATCAGTGCTACTACCGTTGGCTGCCCATTCTAGACATTCGCGGTGGTGGCCAGCCGCAGGTGGATCTCTTCCATCGCCTGCTGCTGAGCAATATCGCGAAGGTACAACGCTGCCTGGAGTTCCAGAACTTCGATGATCTGCCGGATGCTTATTACGAGGCTACCGGCGAATCGCGACCCAATCAGCAAAAGGACGAGAGGCCGGTTAAGGAAGATGAGGCTGAGTTCGTGGACGGCGTCGAGCGGCGCAGGAAGACGACGGCGAAGGCGGCCACGCCCACCAACGGACTCACATCTATGAGCGGGAATTTGCAGCTATCGACGCTATCGTCGTTTTTTCCCTTCGGCAATCCCATCGCCGGCGACGCACCGCATCAACTATACGATATTCTGAGCAGCAGCAGCGAACTCCTGATGGAGACCTCGTCCTTCCTCGACAAGTCCTCCATTGTCTGATCCACACACACTTGTTTACTTTCTATGCTGAACTTTCAAAGTATTACAAAAGAAAAAGAAACATTCAAAACACAAGAAGCAAACTCCCTTTCACATACACATGGCATATCGCTTTTAACACTTTTGATTATTGTTAACTAATAAGCAAGTTATGGTATAAGTTTTTTTTATTTCGTTTTACTACCATTAAACTGCAACGCTGCATAAGAAAAACAGAGTAACATTGACTAAATAATAACAAGCGTAACGACAAGCAATTGATGTGAATCGAACTCAAACCGCAAGTCTAGAAAAAACGAAGCGTAAGAAAACACCAATTAAATCAATATGTATTATATTGTATGTAACTAAATATATGAAAATATATCGATATGTATATTTAAATAAATCAAAATTGTAAAATCAAAGGATAGAATTTTTATTGTGGTAAAGGGTGACAAGTTAATTATGTAAAGATCACTCTGGAAATTTAGTTAATGGATACAGCTGGTATTTAATCCAGGTTCCATGGGGTTTCTGTGATAATAAAAAGACTTGCTCACTGTTTTTAACACTTGACTTTTTGAACATACGTAGATAACGATGGCACAAAAAATAGGGCTAGATAAAAATTAAAAAAAAAAATACAGTCAGCGGAAAAGCATTAGTCGAAGGTTACACATTTTTATGTGTGTGTTTTTTAATTATGATATCATCATAGTACTTAGAGGAACTATTGGTTGTGTCACAGTTCAGTTAAAAGTTCGTAAGCATCAGTACAAATTTTTCCCGAATTTCGGACAAAGATTTTGTGACACCCACGTATGAATCAAATTGGACTCAAATAATTTTTTTTATGTGTACGAACGATTTCAAAATTTGATTTATCTATAAAATTACTCATTTTTAATATGCAGTTGTTTAAAAAATGTTCTATAAATATTATTTTTTTTCATATTAACATACATATTATTAAGTTAGAAATCGTATATTAGTATAAAATAATATTCGAACCTTTAATATGTTTAAATTGCGAAAATATAAAAATATTTAAAAACACACAAGGGTTAATGCTCTCAACTCTTCGATAAATAACTGTTTACTTTTCGATTTTTTTTATAGTTCCTCAGTTATCTTCGTAACAAATCGAAATTATTATAAATTCCTCATGTGTGAGCCATATAAAAAACAATAAATATATTGTTTACCATTTTATATCCAGAACAATTTATATTAACGGTTATAATGGAGGTTTTTGCTGAAAATCTAATAAAAATTCAAGTTCAGGATCAAAATAATAATGTTGACCATCAGCACGTAAAAAGTAATATTAAAAATCAGGGTCCTGCAAGTGAAGTTCAGAATCTAACGGATATTCAAGGGGAAAAACTAACGCTATCAATTGAAGTTCAGGATTATAAGATCTTAAGTGAATCTCAAAATCTGGAGCATCTTGTTCATGTTCAGAAAGTAGAGGATTATCCGTCAGTTGAAGAGCCGGAAAAATTTTCCCTAGAAATTGAAAGTGCGAATAAAACCCAAGATGTGGAGGACCATCAAGGTGAGACCTATAGTCTGGAGAAGGATCCAAATCAACAGCAGGAGCTTGACGATAAAACCCAGGATGGGCAGAGGCAGTCTCCACTTGGGAACCTAGATGACACCGCTTCTGAACGAATAGTTAATCGTCGTGGTCGCGTGATTCCACCCATGCCTTCGGAGGAAACCATGCGCCACTCCATAGCCGACAACCTGATGGAGATCCTGGTAAATATGACTAATCCGCTGTACCGACAACAGTGCTTTGACCTCTTGCAGGTGGGCGATGCTCTGCAGGCACGCAGCCGAATCCTGGATGTCCTGCAGCGAATCGACGAGAAGCGTAGGACTCGTAGATAAATCAGTACATAGGAATCTGCATCAAAGGTCTTCTTAAAACAAACGTATCTTCACATCAGCATTCGATGTATTCATTACTTTTACAAAGCTTGGTTTTCCGAATCATCAAATCCAATTTCTTAATCATTAAAAAGCATGGTCTTGCGAATGATATATCCTGATACATTAAATTGTACACATATCATTATCATTATGAGTTAAACATTCAATAATCTTAGGCTGGGTGTGTCGGTCTGACATTAGGTTGTGTGGGGGTTTGGGTTTTGATCTAATGGTGCTCTGGTGGGGCATCACTTGGCCTTCTCATCCTCCTTTTTGGACTCTTCCGCCTTCAGCAGCTCGGACACGATGCCCACCTTCTTGAGCTCCTCGATGAGGTCCCCGCTTTGGTGCATCTGCAGCAGGATGTCACATCCGCCAACGAACTCGCCGTCGATGAACACCTGCGGGATGGTGGGCCAGTCGGTGTAGTCCTTGACTCCTAAAGGGGCATTATTGGATTATAGTAGGGCATATATTTATGGAGCAGGATCCCCCAAGACTCACCCTGACGCAGGGACTCGTTCTGCAGGACATCGTGGGCATCGTACTGAACACCGTGCATCCGCATTATCTGCACCACCGCATTGCTGAAGCCACAACGTGGCGCCTGGGGATTGCCCTTCATAAAGACGACCACCTTGTTGGTGCGCACCAGCTTGTCCAGCGTCGCCTTGTCCACCGCCTCGCCGGTCACCGCATCCGCCGCAAAGAAGCGACTCAGCACGCCCGGCATGGAGGCGGAGGCACTTGCTCCGGCCGTAAGGCCACCAGGATTGCGGTAGCTCTGACGCAACAGACTCTGGCAAATTCGATTCATCTTACCAGCGTCGCTTTCCTCGAGGAGGTAATAATATTAAAAATATTATCTAACAACAACACGGGCTGTTCAAGTCAAGTGTCAGCTGAAATGTATCGATAGCCTGGCTGGCGATAGTACGGCCAATCGGGTATCGAATGGGTTTTGATTCGAAAAGTATTGGGGAATTCTCAAACACTTTAAAGGAGTTGTTTGCCGTGAATGCTTATTACTTAGAATATGTTTAAAACAATTCAAGTTTATGAGGATACTAAAATGTTTGCAGAATAAAAGTAATAATTATAGAAAGATAAAATGGCGCCAAAATTAATAAGAATGATATCAACATTGTTGTTATACTTTACAATTACTAGGGTCCACATCTTAAAATGAGAACTATCTTTTATAATAATAATACAAATAAGTCCAACTTAAGCTTTGTGTATATCAAAGATTCAAAAAAAGGTATTTTAAAAAGTTTATTTTGCGATTTAAAAGTTTAAATACATTTCTTGCGCATCAAAACCAATACGATCCATAAGAACTGAGGTTTTTAGTAATATACAACTCATTATTTTGTAAACATAATTTTATAAGGCTGCCACAGAAATTACTCCAGCGCCAAATCGTGTAAAATTTATATTGATGCGCATAAAAATGGGCGCTCTGCGATTTCTGTGGCACCCCCATATAATTGAAATAAAATGTATTTTGCAATAATCACACACATAATTACAAATACAATACTAAAACCTAAAGCTAACTAGTGGAGTGTGGTATAGGATCGTTGAAGTTCGCCCGGATTACTGGTTTGTGTGGGCTGGGTCTCAGTTCGTCCTGTTCCGGTGCCAGGACCTATCATATTCTCCATTCGCTGGCTAGTTTCCCGCATAACGCCACCGAAATCTGGTAAATCCGGCAGATCCAATGCAAGGTGGGCGGAGAATCTTTTGTAAACCGAAGACTTGGTGCTTTCCTTCTTGATTTTCTTCCTGTTTTCCTCGTATTTCAACTGTTGCTTTAGGAAAATCGAAGCCTTGATCATCTCCTGTATGTTGTCGAATATGCTCTCGGATTTTTCGATCGTTCGCAGGGCTCTGTAGTTGGGAGTATTGTAATTAATGGTGATATCTTAGGTATATGGTACAGGGACCTACTGAATTCCGTATTCCATATCGTAGCAATGCCCCTGGAGATTGTTTTGCAGCTGGAAGACCTCATCGCGTTTCTCGAAAATCGCTGGGGAAACCTTCCGAACGTGTTCTTGGACCCGGAAAAACGCCAGCGATGGATCGTTGGCGAAAATGTGTATGTTTTCCGATATCTTCTCCGACGTTTTCTTCGTTTTAAAGACCAATTCTCCGCCGCGAGACATTGTTTTATTTACTTTTTCCCCGTTTTCTTTCCTTTTGTTTACATCGAGACTCCAATTGGAAATTCTATCGATAGCTGATATATTTTCAGTATTTTTCAAGCAGTATATATTCTTTGGACACAAAAATACTATCGCATTAGATTAGGGTCATTCTTTTTAGTATTTTAAACTAAAATATAAGTTGATTAATATATTTATTTATTTATATAAAGCTAGCTTAAAGTTAAAACTATAGGCCAACTAAATTAAGAGCTCTAGCAGCTAAGGCCTTCAGCTCGTCTGAGGTGTGGCTAATTAATACATGTATATATTTATTAATTATTTATTTCTTATCGTAAATTGTATTAACAGACAAAAATTGTATTACTTTTATAACAGCAAAATATAACTAATAAGTCCTTTGCATAGTTTCTTAATTAATTATAATTGTTGGCTCATTCAAAACGATTTAGTCTAGCGGTATAGTGCTAATTGTAAACTAAAATTACCTTTCACAAAAGGTGTTAGCAATTAAAAACAAAGTATATATTTAATTGTTGAATATATAGTTAATTGTTTGCATGCCGTCGAGATGGCAATAATACATTTTTCAATTAAAAAACAATTAAAATAGATGTCACCATTAAAAAATAAATAATTTAATGAATCTTGTTAAAAATGTTTTTTTTTAAATTTTAAATGGGTTCTATTATTATAATAAACACAACAAAAGAAATTCTGTGAATTGAAAGTAAAAAAATTAGACGATCAGCTGCAAGGATTCATAATTCACAGGAATACCCTCAACACCGCCCGAAATTGGAAACATCGATATAAAATTAAATCATCGTATCAATCGATAGCCTTCCGTAAGACCAGGCAAACTCCTACGTTTTTCAGCTTTAGCGTTAAGGCTGCTCGTCTACTAAACGGTAAATTTGGCAACAAATGCGAAATGCGACTCAATTAAAATACAGAATTAATTAATTGGGCAGACCCAAACAATTAAACTCGAAATATTTTTTGCATATTTTTGTTACTGTGCTGTGTGAGTGAAGAGAATAAGAGAATCATTGAAAAGAACACCGAAACACAGAAAATAAAAACGGGAAACAACTGTGGGATGCTTGGATGCAAATTTCTGGCCGGTTCGGGTGTTAAATGTGAATAACAAGTGATAAGCCAAGCCGGTTGTGGCGAAAAGTGTACTTAGTCATGGATTCTGGTTAAAAATATTACTTATAAGCCTGGTACAGCAACAACTAAGCGGCAATAACAAACTTTGTTTACCTAGAAACTCCAATAAGTCACCCCAATTCGAAGATCCAGTAACTGAGTAACAGAGGGTTAATTTTCAGTGTGTATGCGCGTGCAGGCTATTTATGTTGTTGGTCTTCTTTCTATACTCTTTGTTTTTGTTTATGCTTCTTATGGAGATGAAGATTGCCCTCTTTTCTCACAGTGCACTGGATGATGAGCTCATTGATAAGACGCACCCAAACTCTCCCTCTCTTTTGCACACACACATGGCTGCTTACGTCATGGTCCCCCCACCCCCTTGTTCCATCCTTTTTTCACAATTTATTTCTGTTCTATTTGCACTTTGATAAAAAATTGCAAAAAAAAGCCCCCTAGCAAAGCTATACAAGTAATAAAAATCACCTGCACAGTTTGCATTTGTCAAGTGCTCTTTTTATTTTATTGTTATTCTCAACTCCTCAAGTGCCCATAATTTAAGAACCCACATTCCAATTCAATCGTTCTAATGCTCTATAGACTATATGTACTATATGTACCCGTATATACCCAATACCCAATACCTATATGCATCACAAGTTGCTAATTGTTGTTGCTGTTCCCTAGAGACAGAAAAAAAAGCTTTTAATAAAAACGATATAAAACAGAAAAAAACTGGCCATGCACAAACAACAAAAATCGAGAACAAAACTGAATAAAAACAATAAAGACGCGCGTGTTATTAATGCTAATCTAAAAATTAAATTTTGTAACATACTCTCGGGCGGCGAAAGAAATATCGGAATCATTAAAAGCTCCTCTTTTTTATTTTTGATGTTTTATTTACACACAGAAAAACAATATGATAAAAAACTTGTAACTTGTAAATTACCAAAATTCTAAATTGTAGTCTATAAAAATCAATCCACAGAATTTTTTGGCATTTTAAAATTAGTTCTACAATTATGACAATAACAAATAACGCCTCAATAATTTAAAATATTTTAACTTGGAATCCAAAATTATTTTTATATATGAAAATATATATTTTTTTTAAACCAAAATATTTAAAAATTGTGTAACCAAAGATAAAGATCTATATTTCTATGTAATAGCTGAATTTTTTAGCTTTACGATACTTTTTTTTATATATTTAGCAAATTTTATAATAGGGAAAATATTTTTTTAATATCTACATAACTAAAAGAAATTTTCTATATAATAGCTGAATTTCGAACTTTATGATATATTCTTAATAAATCTAATAAATATCACAGGACCTTTATATATTTTTTATTTTTTTCACCGTGTGCTAATTATACATTCGTGTGTGCTCTTTTGTTTGCCTTTGCGGCAGAACTTTTCAGTGGAGCTTTCGGCAAAGGAGTAATACTAAACAAATAAGTATAAATAAAGACCAACAAGTAGACGACGAGGAACCTCAACGATGGGCAACATACACACGACGGGTCCCAATGAGGCGTTAATTGTTTCAGGTGAGTCGGGCGAACCTTTGGCACCCAGTTAACCCCACTACCCCACTACCAAAAACACCCAACCACCCACTCCTTAACCCTTTTTCGCCGTTACTGTTGCGTCAAACGCCTGTTGACTGATTTTGAAATGCTGCAATTAGTAAACCGCATGTTGACAGGACATTGCGAATTCAGCCAGGGTTGCATGTCTACATTTACTCAGTTGCGAGTGACATTCGACTTCGCTTTGATCTATGATTGCGGGGCATTCAGGATAATGACAACACTGAGAAAATAATAATATGGTAAATATAATTCACTAGGGTTTCGAAATCACTTCTAAAGGTGTCTAGAGTTATGCTACCATATACAACACTGAAAAAATAATAACATGGTGTATATAAATTACTAGGGTTTCGAAAAGTGTCTAGAATTATTCATCAAGTAAGGAATCATTCCTAGACGAAACACTTTTTTACTACTTTGAATTATGATTGCAGGGCATTCAGGAAAAAATAATAATATGGTGAATATAAATTACTAGGGTTTCGAAATCACTTCCAAAGGTGTCTAGAATTATGCTACAATATATTAGTATTCATTTGTCAAGCAAGGTTTCATTCCTAGACGATTTAATTTTTATGCTGCATACTTTTTGACATCTTTATAAAGATCTATTTTATAAGATACTTCTACTAATTTCTTATAAAGCGCGTATAAGTATATCTAAAACATTTCTGGCTTATAAAGGAACTCTTTACAGTTCTAATTTATTGTTTGAGATTGTAACATTCAATTTGAACTGTAATGAGTTCATGAATTATAAATAACCGGTACTTAAATTTATATATTTTAAAAATAAATGAGAAGTATTTTTACGCCTCATTTGTAGGCTTACTTTTGACATTCTCTTGATGCCAAAAACTTGAAGTTCAAGTTCAGTATTTATCGTGTATTTGCACTTACAAGTGTTTTGTATGTGTATTTTGAATGGAGTGGTTCGGGGCTTAATATTACTTTTACAAAAAAAAACTGAATTAACGTATACGTCAAGGGCTGTTGGTTGAAATACGACCGTTTAAAAAATTATTAAATATTTTTAAAGACTTGCGGTGAAAAATGCTTTGCTTTCCAATTTTGATGATATTAAAATCGTATCAACGGATGTTTAAAAATAGGCCACTGAAAGTCAATGTCAAATTGATCTTATCCAAACGGAAATGGATACGAATATCTTATTTCTGAAGAGAAAAACGTTTTACAACATAATTTTATGTCGATCCATATCCTAATCTTTTATTATTTCAACTATTAACCATATGATAATGTTATTAAGGTTTCCGGAAATTGTTTCTTTAGACAACAAAGCAAGAAATATATTTGTAATATCTTATTATATAATTTTTTGCTGTGCAACCTTGCGTATCTATTGTGTAGCCCTGGGGCCGGAAGTCTTTTCCTCCGGCGGCACAGAAAAACAGAAAACTCCCTGATGCATATTGAATTTTTCACACACACAAGAAGAGCGCGGAGGACGCGGAAGCCCGGGACAGTGATAACCACTTGTATGCAACCACCCACCATCCCCAGCATCCCAGCCACAGGGAAACCACCCCCTGATGTTTTGTGTTTTGTATTTTATGTTGCCATTTTGCCTACGTCTCGGCCCGTCTTGCTTTCTGTACTGTGCCTAGCCAAACTTTTCAACCCCCATTGGCATGGGTTAATGCACTCTGGCCAACCCCTAGGGGCTCCTCAACCCCCCGGAACCCCTTCGAACCCCACCACCTTCCACTACCATGGCCATCGTCATCGCCAACCCCAAAAAAACCCAAATGCAGCTCGCTCAACTCGTTAAGGTAATTCTATTTAATTAACTTGCCAAGTCAAACACAAGAACTGGGGACTAATAGATGATTTTACTCTTCACTTTTTCCGCCTTTTTGCAAACGATATAATAAAATAATACATTTAGCCGGGCATCGATAATCCTTTAATAGGAATTCCGTTGCTTATTGGATGCCAGGGGAGGTCTAATGGTTTCGAGCACGCAAATTTAACGTAATGCTCTTAGGCACGCAGTTTGTAATATTTTCCAATTAATACAGATAGGTCAACTTTAGATAGATAATTTCTATATTGCTTGTACTTGTTTAATTTACTTTTGGTATTATTATATGCCTGGACCTTATATAGATATAAATAATAGTTTGATAAGTTATACAAAAAAGTCAACTACCTACATTTATATAATAAAAATTCCATATGTATAACCCAATAATGGATTTTTTATGGCGTATTTGAGTGATACTAGTTTAAACTCAACTCCATTCGGATCGTATCATGTCCGCTGCCTTTTCTCCGATCATAAAAGCTGCAGCATTTGTGTGGGCGGTGGGTGGTACTGGGATCACACTGGTGTCCACCACACGGAGTCTCCTCATCCCGTGCACCTTCAGCTGATGATTGACCACGGTGGTGGGATCACTTTCGGGTCCCATGCGACAGGTGGCCACCTGGTGGTGCAGTGTATACGATAACGTTCTTATAGAGCACCTCCAATAATCATCCGAGGCGAACTCGTGGCTCTCACATCCCGGCACCTGCCTCTTGAGTAACCTTGCCCCAATCCTCTGCATTGCCGGCATCTCTATAATCCTCAGACTGGCTTTGATGCCATCTAGTAGATACTCCACATCCTCCTCGGCCACAAAGTATTTGGGATCAATCATGGGCCAGCTCAACGGATTGCGATCCCTCAACCAAAGACGACCCACTGACTTTGGATGGAATTGCATGACAAGAAGAGTGAAGTGATCCTGTTGAGCCTGTGCCAGTTCCCTGTACATCCGGTCGTAGATTTCGTCCTTGAAATTGGCGCCCAACTTCAGGGCCGTGCCTTCGTCACTAGCCAAACTGCCAGTGACCATAATCAGCTCGATGTCTGGCCAATCCTTTGGCAGATCCGATCGCAGTGTTTTGAGGAAAGCCAGGGCCTCCACTCCACCAATGGAACTCAATACGGTGGATGGATTTCCGGCCAGGAGGTAGGATATCACGTCAGCGGGTGAAATCCTCGATGTGAAGGTCGTTTGGCCAGTGGTGTTGGTCACAAAGGTGGGTCCAAAGTGGCACATGTGATCGAACATCTTCTTACCCACCGGCAGGGCTTGAATCAGAGGTACTCCAATGGCCTTGAGGTTATCCTCTGGCCCTATACCCGAAAGCATCAGTATTTGTGGGGAGTTGAAGGCACCCGCTGATAGGATCACCTCCTTGCGGGCCTTGAAGGTATAGGCTTTGTTTTTGTAGTGAAACTCCACGCCGTAAGCGGATTTCGTGGCCTCATCGATCAGAATACGGGTCACTCGAGCAAAGGTGAACACCTGCAGGTTGGAGCGCAGATCCCTCACCGGTTTTATATAGGCCGAATAGGCCGAGTGTCTTCTGCCATTCAGGGTGGTGGCCTGGACATAGGAAACCCCGAACTGGGACTCTCCATTGTAGTCGGTGCGCGGCAGTCCCGCTTCCACGGAGGCCTCCACGAAGGCATCCACCAATTGGGAACGAAAGCGTACATATTCCACACTCAGGGGACCACTGTGGTTGTGATATGGCGAGTTCTCCAGGCCCTGCAGTTGGGCCCGCTCACTCCTCAGGAAATAGGGTAGTACCTCTTCGTAGCTCCAGCCGGGATTTCCTGCCGCTGCCCAGCCATCAAAGTCCCTGCGATTGCCCCGATTGTAGATCATATAGTTGATGGAGCTGGTTCCTCCCAGAACCTTTCCCCTCGGCAGGGCACACTCGTTGTTTATCATTCCGTGGCAGGAGAGCTTTTGGGGCACGGACTTGTATCCCCAGTTTGAGGATGTCTGCTGCAGATAACCAGCTAGTACTGGGGTGATGTGGGCTATATTCTCCACTCCCCCGGCTTCAATGAGGGCCACCCTCCACTGGGGATTTTCCGACAGACGGGCGGCCAAAGAGCTACCAGCTGCTCCAGCTCCAATCACAATGAAGTCATAGTTTGAGAGATCCTGGGGTGCTGAAAGATACAATTTGAGGAGCTTTATAAGGAGAACAGAATAATAATACCAAAGCTTTTCCAAATTCAAGTATTGATTTATTCGGAATAAAAATGGATATGCCATTGGTTTGGGTAACTCGACTTAATAACAAGAAAGGAAGCTAGCTTCAGCAAGCCGAAACTCTTTCAGGTCGTTCCCGTGGAAGCATTGTAAGTACAGAGCTTTTTGAGTGTAGGAAAATAAAAACTAATCACAGAAATATTAAGACAATGTTTTATTTTAATTTAATATTAGTATATGTTAACCGAAAAAAAATTATAACGGTCTTTGTATTATTTTGACATTAATTATCCGATCGATCATATGGCAGCTATATAATAAAATCGTTCTTAAAAAAATTTTTGTTTCAAAATTCTGAAACATTATAAGAATGACATTCCCAAGAGCAGAAGTTAATAAGTCGAAAAACACCGAAGTTAAATTTTTTTTACATAAACAATTTTTTCTTTGGTTATTTCTATGGCAGCTTTAGAATACAGTTATCCCAAACAAGAAATAAGACTTTTGGGAAGATTTTATCCCGATAGCTATAAAACTGAGAGAATAGTTTGCGTAGAAACCAACAGACGGACAAACGGACAGACACGGACATGCCTAGATCGACTCGTCTAGTGATGCTGATCAATAAGATATATACTTCATGGGGTTGGAAACGTCTCCTTCAAATATTTATATCATTATAAACATTAATCATTATACTCTATGCAAGGGTATAATAATCTATTTATGAGTATATCCTTGAGCTTTGAGTTGACTTACCACTAGGACGCGTGGCCTGTTCTAGGAGATTAACCAGTCCCACCTGGTTTAGCTGATCCAACAGCAGTCGATTGACATCCCCTCGGGATTCGCCCAGGTAGAGAAGCAACAGGAGCAACAGGGGCAACAGGAGCAGGTGTGAGATCTGTGTAGACTGCATTGGGCTAATGGTGG